GTTCTACAAAAGCTTCCTCCGGTCGTGAAACCTTCTGTAAATTGTCCTATCTTTTCTTAGAATTTATTACTTCTGTCGTTCAGCTTCTCAAGCTCTTCATTCATTTCCTCTTCTTTCTTTTTCCTCCTGCAAACGCGCTTTGCTTCCCTCTTCACTTTCCGGTATCTAGCCCACTCCACAAGTGCTGTTTTTCGATTTAGAGACATCCAAGTAACTCATTGAGTTTTCTTATGCTGTAATCTATATACAACCATATTTCGGGTCCCAGCGAAGTCAATCAGCTTCAAAAATTTGGCGATGTTTAGTCGCGGATGCTGAATTTTCCGACATTTGTGCCGAAGATACCTTCCATTGAAGTCTCCAAGCACAATTTTGGCATCGTGGCGGAGGCAGCGCTTATAAGTATGCTCGAGGCGATCATAAAATACATCCTTGATCACATCGTCCTTTCCTCCGTGGGGGCATGGGCTCAATTCAGTGTTGTGTTGATGCGGATTTGGGCGAGACGTTAATCCACTGCAGTGAATGCCAGTTTTAATATATTAAAGGGCCGGACATTGCAGGTGCATTCTCTCAAATCGTGATCCTTAAATAATTTGCGGGGTCGTCATCAAAATGGGGTCTCCATCCAAGACATATTAATACTTTTATTCGCAGTTAACTCTTTTTTTAGGCAGGGAAAAAAAGAAAGAGGCCAAAATGCGTTAGTACGAGGAGCTTGAGAAGATGGCCGCAATAGTGATGCTCGAAAATTCTACGAAAAGATACGGCGACTTACGGAAGGTTTCAAGACCGGAACAAACTCTTGTAAGACCCAGGGAAATGATCTAGTGATGGATGCCCAAAGTATACTCAATTTATGGAGAGAACACTTCTGCAGCCTGCTGAATGGCAGTCGAAATGAAACACCTGGATATGGTGAACACGAATTTCCATTTAAAGACTATGGAAAAGTTGTTCTGTTGCCCGACTATGAAGAAGTCCGAATAGCAATCCCCCGTCTAAAGAACAAGAAAGCGGCGGGGACCGATGAGGAGCCGTTAGTTCTGCTGTCTCCAGACTCTATAAAGAAGCGAAGCAATTTGGTCTTGGTATTTCCAACTGTCGTCAAACAGCGAAAAGAAGAGACAAACAACGCGCTAATATTGATTTGGCTCTGATCGCGTAAGCGGTGGCGACGTTAATAAAAGAAGAATAACCGCATGGGATTCTACTTTTCCGATCCAATCCTTCAGAATGGCAATAAGCAATTGTAACCACTCGGTTAATGCGGCCGCTGGCTAAGATCAATACTGCAACTACTCCTTCAAATCCATCTCCTATATTATCTTAGTTTATGTATACATATGTACCATAAAAACCTTTTTTTGATAATATTTTACCGAAGTTCCTTCTGGGCAGTCTTGACTACCACGGTGATTATAAATATAGTTTCATGGATGTACAAATAGTATTGTAAAAAGCTTTAAAGAAACAAAAACTTATTAAATAATACTGATATCCAAAACCAGAGCAGAGCTAAACAAAGAAGGTACAGTATTCTGGAGGAGTATGCTATTGCTGAACGATGAAACCCCATCAAAATTTTGGTCAGTTACCATAGAACACAAGATATAACCATTTTCAGAGTAAGTTTGGGGAACAGTGTAACTTGCTGACTTATGATTACCCTCGATTAGACCATTTATCTAGTATAATTTCGATGAAAATATCCCTCCGCCCGCTTCGGAAAGCTGAATCGCAGAAATTCGCTCACATTTTCCAACTGAAGTACCGTTTTCGGCATCTTCGGCGACTTCCTGCACCAAGCGGATGTAGGAAATTCCTTGATCAGAGAACTCAATTTGGAGACTTGGTGATGGGTATAAACCAAGATTCGTGCTCACTTCTGGAAACAGGGGTATACAGTACTCAATTCAGAGATGGGTACCGTCAGTTAGTGATGGAATCTTCATAAAATGGATGCTCATTGCTAGTGTTCTTGGTAGGCCTGCACCCTCAAACGTTTGATGTATGTTAATCTTAACATTCAGCACCGCATGAACAAATCTATGTTTTATATAGCTTTACCTTAAGAATAGAGTACTTAAGCGACTTTCGGCCGAGCAGCCTCCGAAAGGTCCCTGATTAATCAAGAAGAGCCTTTTATTAAAATGCAGAAATACACTCTTTTTAAGCGAACAGTATCAATCTCATACTTTTTGGCATACATTTTTGCTTCCTGCCATTTGATATAATAATGAATATATACCTTTTCGGGGGTATATACTCTAAGGTTTACTTATATTCATATGTCTAATTCCCAGGTAGACAGGGAAGCAATAACTTAAAGTGTAAAGTAGATGCAAACTTCGAGGTGATGGGCACATACTCGAAAACTTGCATTATTGCATGCCTAGATGTTTGCCAGCTCCAGGAATGGCTGAAAAGTTCAAGGTTCCATGTAATATAAGCTTGGATCACAAAACAACTTGGAGTAGGCTCATGCTTCACCATTCTTGAAAATGCCCATCGTTCAAATAATCTACCCCGCACCACATCCAATCTCTATTTTTTTCTATTGAGCTCAACCCCGGACTCCTTCAGGAGCCATTCAGCTGATAAACAACAAAGCAAGTCACAGGGGTGAAACTGGCCTGCTGCGTCTGGCAGCAGTATATTTGCCAATCAGTGTTACTTGCACCTAATGGGGTTTTAATAAATTATAGCCGAGTGGTTAGCATTGCGTGCTGACATTCGGAAGGCTCGGGTTGAAATACCGGTGCCACTAACACCCAAAAAAGTTGTGGAAAATTAAATTAAATAAAAAATTAATTTAAATTTTCTAATTGTGGTCGCCCCTCGGCAGGGGATGTCCACCCCTCCGAGTGTCATAAAAGCTCCTCGTAAAAAACCATCAACCGTTCGGAGGCTGCTAAGTAAAAAATGTAGGTCTTCTATTTGTTGGAAAAACATCAAGACGCAAAACCACAAATTGGAGGAAGAGCTCGGCCGAAAAATCGCTTCAGCGGTTACAAAGTGTGTAATGGTAGAAAGGGTAACCTGGATATGCAACTAATTATCAAAGCAAACGACATCTCCAATCACACAGCCTGGTGTGACTCATGTTGAAATGAGAGACGGCTGACTCTGTTCAGAATCGGTAATTGGCGTTGGCACCGCTTACGCGATTATAGCCTAATCAATTAAAGCTCGGCATTCATCTCTTATTTTCGTTGTTTGGCGCCAGCTGGATATACCAAGTGAAACCAGGTCGCTCTTCACATGATCCTTCGGACGGAATGGAGGTCTTCTTCTTTATATGCTTTCACCAACAGGTACTGCATAGAATACTTTCAAAGCTGGGGTGATTTCATCCATTGGATTTCAAAGCTTAGTAATGGTGTTGATGCTGGTTCCTAGAAAGCCTCAATTATCTACGACTTCGCAGTTAAGATGACTCTTTTTTTAATGACAGGAGACATTTCGTTTTGTCCCATTCGCTTCGCTTTTCGCTCAAGCCTGTAGAAAGCAGAACTCTCGGTGCGGTTGTTAAGGCCTATGACATCAATAACATCGGCAGAAGATAGTAGCTGTACATTCTCGTAAGAGATTGTACCTTGTCTATTTAGCTCTGAAGCTATTATTATTCTATCCAGCATAAAATTGAGGAATTTGCACGATAAAGAGTCACCTTGTTTGGTACCGAATGGCTGGGGGAGGTCCTTGCCAACTCTGACTTTAAATATACCAGATTATATCTTGGAAAATAAATGACACCGTAATAAATTTAGCATCTTCACTAAACAATTTTTGGTGTAGCTTCTTACTTTGCCTAGAGTCTTTTACACAAAAGGCGGTTGTCTCCGAACGTTTATTGCAGGAAAGTTGATCTCTTTTTCAGCTTTCTTAAAGACTGGTACCTCCCCCTTGTTAAGTTTTTTGACGGAAGGCAAGTGGATAATCTATTTTAACTTGATTATAACAATTTTTGTCCGAGTCAAACCAAAATTACAATCACCTTCGTAATCTATTAAGTTCCGTCCAAACCATTGGTATGCATTTGTTATCCATATTGAAATGCTTAGGTTATGTAGCCCAATCTTACTGAAGACGTACGTTACAGACATTTGTGGGGAACCCAATACTTATCTCGTTTTCTCACAGGAAATCTAAAATAGCTTAAGCATCACAGTTGTCAATTAATGATATGAAATTTCGACAGTAAGATTTAAAAGTTAATTATCATCGCAAACAACTACAACTGTCGTGGTGTTGAGTACTTCCACATACTTACGAAGTATGTAACGCCTAAATAAATAAGTTTATTGGGTGCAATAATTATGTAATCGCCTACAAAGGGATGTTAGTGTCACAAAAAATTAGGTGTATGTGCATACATTTATAATGATATATTTTAAGATGATTTTGCATTCATATTGAAATTATTGTAATATATTATTTTAGAAAAATTTTAGTTTACTAAGCTCGAATTACCGTTTAATATGCCTACTAAGCAAAGATTATACTCCAAACACCAGACCAAAATTGCTGAATGGTGTCCAGACGAGACTAGCTCAAGAAAAAGTTACATTTTGTTTTTATTTTGTCAAAAAATGCTCGTAAAATCATCACAATATATCCGTTGAAAAGGATTCGAATATGTGAATCGCGGTTATAAAAAGTCACCAGGCACTCTTTACTAAAAAAATTGTGCACGATTCCACTAGAATGAGTTTAACAGACGAGGATCCTCCCATATTTTTTTTGGTTTATTCTATTAAAAAGTTAATCAACCGCTGCTAAATGATTTATGTACTACGCACAGTCTTAGTTGATTGGTTGTTGAACTTTAATTATAGCAAAGTATTCGTACTTCACTCGTTAGGAACATAATCTTAGTGAACTGCCCACACTAACAGTATTCGTATTGCCGAAGCAACATTATTTGCTTTGGGTTTTTTCTATATAGCATATCATTAAATAATAATAATAAGTGTTATAATATATACAATTATATGTACTTTCCCAAAATCATATTTATTTATGTATGAATATATTGTGTACATACATACGTAGATATGTATACACATAGATATGTGCAATATTTACAAAGACGTATTGACAAAACTATTTACAATTTGTGTTAGTCATATATTTCGAAGGTGATTTTTAAATTGTGATCCCTTGTTTCTCTGCCTCTTTCTTATATTTCGCTGCATATATACCTTCAGGGTCGTATTTAGCTTGAAGTTGTTTCCACTCATCAGGCTTATTATCAATTACATAACGAATAACTTTGTCAGTATTTTGTTTTTGTTTCTCACTACACTTGCCACACTCGGTTTTCAATGCATCAGGCAAAGTCTTTTTCAACTCTCGCCCTTCTGGAGTGCACTTTCCCGTCTCAATGAGACATTTAAAATAGTTATTAAATAACCGATCGGACTTTAGTATCTCATCAACATCAATATTGTCATACTTAGTTGTGTATTTCTCTTCAGCAACGGCGAGAGTGACTAAAGCTAAGAGGCCGGCGAATATCAACAGTTTCATTTTATCTGCAATACCTGTAATAAACACGGATATATTAATTACGTAAAAAGTCTATGATCAACATACATATGAATTGGCAACAGAGTCGAAAGTTTAATATTAACTCATTTAATATGCGTAATGTAGCAAGTGTATATGAATACCTACATACTTACGTGTGTACATATACTTAGTATATATACAAATACATATAAATATCGTGAAAAGTGTAAAACTCGTTAAATGGACTTAAGTAAATATTGAAATAAAAATCAACAAAATGCTTGAAGCATTTCAATGTATCTAAAAAAGGCAATAAATTTTGAAAAGTTAACTTAATTCACATGTTCGATAATTATTGATTGAGTGTTTAAATGTTGTGTAACATTTTTTAAAATGTATTTCTTCACAAATTATAATTTATTGCAGTCATGGTTAGTTCAAAATTTATCAGATTAGTTAAGTTTATAAACGTAATCATAATTTTCGCCATATTAGTTATTGTGCTTTGTTATTTTTTTATTACAATTATTTTCATTAACAATTTTATGAAAATTATTTTTTTGTAATCATAACAATTTTCAACATTAATTTTAGTATTATTTTTATTATAAATTTTGCTATTATTGTCTTTACTATTTTTATTTTTATTATTTTTATTATTATTATTATTATTATTATTATTATTATTATTATTATTATTATTATTATTATTATTATTATTATTATTAATATTGTTATTATTATTATTATTTTGGTTAATATTGTTATTATTATTAAGACTGCTACTATTATAAATAAATGATAATTATTTCCTTTTCGCTTTCTGTATCATGTACAGATACTTGGTACATATGTATAATATATACACAAATCAAATCAACTAACTTTTAACACTTTATCGTTCACTGAATTCCTTTACAACTTTTCGTAATAATTGATTTAAATTGAATTGATATCTACTGATATTAACCTTGGACTATATCTCACTTTACTAAATGTGTATTGAATATAATTTTATTTTCTCTTTGATAAACAAACGTATGCCGTTAAGTTAACTTACTTCAATTTCACTAACAAAACAAAAGATTTAAGCGAGAAGCGTGTACTGCTTCAGATCGTTGACGTTTTGTTACTGCATATGTTGAGGAAAATACCAAGCTTTTATAGCTTAGGCAATCTGAGCGATTTAGTGCTTGCAATAAGTTTCGCGGGTTAATTACCCAGTTAAATACTCTTATATGTATATTCAATTGAATAGACGCATATATTTCCCTTTAACATTATAAGTAGCAATTAGCTTAAAAAAAGTTTAGGTCACCGATGAGTAGTTCTCAGTCTAAAAATGTTGACTAGGTTTTTTAACAAAGTTTTTATTTATTCAATTCAATTAATCGCATGTTCACCTTAAAAATCACGGTCTATACGTACATACGTACGCAATTATGCACTGTATTTATGGGATATACATATGTACTTACATATTTAAGCGAATTTCTAAATCATTAGAAAAAGCACTAATACTAAGTTTATTTTATTTTTAGGATATTGAGCTGTGTAATGTTAAAGTTTTTGTACAAAATAAAGAAGATCAGAGAAAGTAGATGAGAGTATCAGTACAGTAACTTTACTCAATTGAGAATTCAAATAGTCGAACATAAAAATATTTACCTAAATTACGGAAGGACTGCTGGTCACTTAGAGTTGACAGACTACGGCACGCTTTGATGCTCTTAGTTCATGAGAGCCTCCTCCTTTCCACCACTGGGTAGTGATTCTATGCAGAATGACCACTTCCAAAACGCTAGAACTATCGCCCAACATAGTGTTACACATTTTGGCTCGACTAAAGACCAAAAACTGAACGCAACAGGTCGCCAACCCTATGATATCGAGATGTATTTAAGACAGCGGACGGTGACCACTGCGGTTAATCCTACGAATCTTATTCTAAGCGGTTATAAATATTATATAAAATTCAACAATTTTGTGCATGTATACTTTTAAAAGGCGAATTGTAGTTTTCTAGTTGGCACCGCAAAAATATTTCCCAAAGTGGTGGTGTGGCAGTAACAGCCCCTGGTAGGATAACTGTCAAGGTAGCTGTTGGATTTTAGTCGCCTATTACAATGGGCCTTACTGTAACACCCAGGGGTACCACCGTATTTCTCTTGAATTATTGTCGAGTATTCACAACAAAAAACGAAGATCTAAGAGATCCTCAGGTAATGCTCAGTTTGGTAACAAAAGATGTAAATGGTTGTAATGGTGGGATATCCTTAGCTTTTTTGAAATTGAAAGCAAGAGAATTTTATTGATCCCACAATTATTGTCATAGTTACCTTAAATATGGCCTCTAGGTACATGATACTGTTCCTAGAAGTAAAAAACTGATACCGAATATGGAATTTTGTTGTTCTTTAAAGTTAATTGCTTTATTGTATTTTTCTACTTTTCATTTCATCTGCTATAAATATCTCCTATCAAATATGAATAATTAAACATTCTACTAAAGCATAATGAGCGTTTTGACGACTGTCAATATTGTTTGGGAAAACTTTTTTTAGGATTGAATAAACAATATTTTTGATAATCGAATCGTCATTGTCTCTTCAGTAATTCATAATTATTATTAATGACCTTCTAAATAAGAAAAATGGAATACTTGGCACAACATTTATTTTCCATTTCCATAAATTTCGAAGAATTTGAGGACGAATGAAAAATTTTGTTTGCTTATTTACAAAATGCTACTGCGCTTCCAAGACCGTTTGTTTACTAGTTAGAGCTCAAGTTCTTCGGAAATAGTAATAATTAATTATTTGGATTTCTTACATTTCTCACTTAAAGGTTGAAGGTATTCTAACTGATAATAACTTTATATATAGAAGTAGTTCACTATACATACTACCTTAAATATAGACGATATATTTTATGCGAAATATTTTTTACTTAAATTAATTTCTGTCTCCATCATTATAATCAAATATATTTATCATATAACAATTGGACGAGGCTTAATTACTTTGTTTCTAATTCTTAATTCCGATAAAAAAAAAACCCTTCCTGAAGTTATTGCGATTTCTGCGCTTATTTTGTTAAATACATACATATGTACTTGCATATCTTACTCATATAATTATATTGCTTGTACCTGCTCTGCCGATAGAATTCGTGTTTAGAATGTAATTTATAATTGGATCATAGGTCCATTTTGAATTGTACCACATTATATGGCTATACATAAATATATACATATATAAATATATAATATATAAATCAATATATAAATGTATATAAGAATAAAAATAAAAATAACCTTCAGCATAATTTCTATTAAATCATTCTAGATATTTTGCATGACCATATCACTATATTTTCAATGTTGCTCTATTCGTTTTGACGGCAATTAAAATTCATTTCCTTTCCCCATTCATTATAATGCATGCATTGTATATAATTCCATTCAACATCAGATATTCTTAGATTTTCATCCAACTCAAATTCAAGGATGTATTTTTATCGAATGAATCTGAACCGCCAAATAAAATCTTGATAGTATGCTAATTTTGCGTGGAGTTCATCTAGTTCATAAAAAAATATTTTTTATAAAATTTCTTTTGAAAATTTATTCATGTTTATTTAAAAGATCTTGAAATTGCATTTAATTTCTTATTATCGAATGTTATGAATTAGACCCTTCTTTTTATTCTTATTTCATTTAAATTAATTTTTACGTTCATAAAATTAATTCAATTGACCTTAATGTAACTTCTCATTCTTGTTTCTAAAATTTTTATCTTGATTTCACTTTTAAATTCGCCCAATATAGGGAAGAAAATGAAATCTTGAACATTCAATTCTAACATACAATCAAAAAATTTTGTGAATCATACAATAAACTAAATATAATATATTATATATTTAAAGATGAGTTGAGTTGAGTTGGTGCGGCTACTAGTACTTAGGCCAATAGACCCATTGTGATACCGCCTCTTAAATGATTGAACCATTTCGTGTTCCTTCTTAAGGCAACGAGATTTCCACTGTCCGCTGAGGCCAACTCAGCGAGACAATCGAGTAAGTCTTTTTCCAAAGAAACTTGTGCCTCGCGGATGTCAAGGCTGGAGGTAGTGCTCGATGGTTTCTTCCTCTTCTTTGTCTTCTTTGTACAGCCGCGGCAGAAATCGTTAATGTTATAGCCCATCCTATTCCAGTGAAGCATCGTTAAACAGAGTTCAGTTACGATTGGCATACGTTATGTTAATGGAGAGCCGGTCCAGAAAGATAAGATGTTTACATATTTTCCCGTCCATCTTCGGCCATAGCGGTCACGTTCTTCAACCATCGTGAGTCAGCTTCCCTGGTGACTTAACCGTGGACAGAGGTAAACCAGTATCATGAGCGAGTTTTATCGTACATAGAATGGTTCCTTCTCTTGCTAGTTCGTCTGCCATGCAATTGCATGGATTGTCCCTGTACAGGCACCCAGTCCACGGCAGTACTGTACTTCACTTTGACGTTACATTGAAGAGATCTGGTTACAGTCTGGCCAACGGAGTAAATTGTAACCGATTGTGCTGCTGCCGTAGATTTGTGAAATCACCCCGCGGCCTTCATGATTGCGAAGAGTTCCGCCTGGAAAATACTGCAGGTGTTCGGTATTCTCATGATGATGCTTACTGTGAGCACAGGAGAATAAATTCCATAGCCCAACCTCCCATCAAGCTTTGAGCCGTCGGAGAAGATGGCTATTGCTCCGTGGTCGGGGGCGCTGGTTTTACCCCACTCGCATCTATTTGGGATTCCCGCGGAGAAAAATTATCGAAGCATACATTGTAGGCGGCGTAGTCCATCTCCTTCGGCATTTCTGTATAAGATAATATTTTTATATGCGCTATACTGCAATTGTTAAAAGGTTTCCCGTATATATCCACAGGAAGGAGGTTGACAAGAGTTAGCAGCGCTTTCGAAGGTATTGATGGCCGTTATCAGGATGAACGCCGATCGGTGAATCCTCTCTAATTTATCCTGTAGGTGATTTTATCGAGTGTTGGACACCAGAAGTGACCCGAATAGGTTTGGTCTATCTACCGATGTATATATCCAGTGCACAATACTCGGTCTTAGACCCCATCTCTTTCCTATCGCCGTTTTGCGTTTACGCGTTTTTGCGAAGAGTGCACTTATAGCTTTCCTTTATCTTTCTGCCGTGTTCCGGCTCCAGTTTAGTTTGTTGTCTAAGATTATCCCAAAGTATTTGACTTCGGGAGAGAGGGTAATTTCCACGCCATTTAGTTTGGGTAGTTTAAAGGCACGCGGTTTTATCAGGGTTTACATCCAGACTCTGCACCATCTCTCAACTATACAAAGAGCACTTTTGAATATATCGCTTCATGTTTGTAGGTGTTTGACTGTCGCTGTCAGGGATGAGTGTCGATCCTCTTTTCACAGGTCTTTTCCGAAATTTTGCGCATGGTGAGTATGTGATCAATGGTTGACTTACCAGATCTAAAGCCACACTGATGAGGTCCAATCAGTTTGTTGACAATTTGCTTTAGTCTCTCACACAATACGCTTGATAGGACCTTATATGCGATATTAAGGAGGTTAATCCTACGATAACTGGCGCAGACTGTGGGCCTCTTTTTATGGATTCGGCAGCGCATACTTAAATTCCAATCGTCGGGCATGCTTTCGCCCGACCATATCCTGCATTCCTGGATACTTCTTGCGCTAAGTTACGGTTATCGCTAAGACCTGATTGAGCGGGGATATCTAGCATATGGTCTGTTTCTCCTGGTGAGCTTCACTCATCGTTGAAAATTGACGAAGTAGTGGACTTCCAGTTGGGGTGTAATGGAGTGTAATCAAGCTTCTGGGTATGCGGTTACAGTTGCGAGGTTATACTCAATTCCTACTCTTGCGTTCACGTCCGGCACCCTGGAAATGTGAACAATGAGAGAGAAAACTTCGAGCCACTCAGGCTTATTCGGTTTAAGGGTCATCTGAAGTCTAATTGCAGGTTCTGTTCACCAGAGCTGCAGCTGCGAGCAGGCGCCAATATTGAAGCAAGCGGCTCGCTATATAAATGTGTGCCTTAATCTTGCTCGCCTAGCCAGATTGTGCGCTGGGTTTGGGTCCCCCCAACATGCCTTGGATGACATA